TAGAGACATTCCTTATATTATTTGTATTAAATTTTTTAATATTTTCATTATATTTATACAGTATTTGAAGAATTAAATAAATTTATTTCTTTACAATCAAATTATTGCATTACATTTGATGGTCAATGGGCTACTGTACCAGTGCAGATTATACAGTATTGTATCATACAGTAATGTAATTACCGGCATTGTCAAACATTGAATACCTAATTCAATGATTATCAATGAATCACATGTTAATTATAGCAATACTGTAGTGTTATAGTACTGTATTTAATACAAACTTTTTATTCAAATAGTGCTGTATTACCGGTATACACTGGTACATGCCAAATGGTGTTGGAATTGAATTTATATATTTAAAATTTTAAAGCAATTTCCAATCATTCATTCATTTATTCAATAATTCTGAAGAATTCCTTATAATATTCACAAAATTAATCATTACATACAGTAAAACTACACGTATTACTGATCATTATTGAAGTTTATTTGGAGCTTTCAATGTCTATATGAGTGATAATAATATGTAAAGTGAATTAACAATTGAATTAATGATTCAAAAGTTTTGATAATGAGTTCATTCGCTGTGTTCTAAGGGTTTGTTTTGAGACAAGTATTGAACAGAATTTATATAATTTGATGAATAGTTAGCATATTTTTGGCAGACTTTTGTCAGTCTATCTTGTTTTGAGTTATAATCAAACATTTCCAAGACGTCAGACATAAGCAAATGGCTAGAAATAAATATCTAAATACAAATTGTTAGGAAATGCATTCATTTATTATCAAAAACATCACTTTTATGGCAACTCAAGGCTATTGTGAGAAAACACAGTATAATAATAATTATCATTATTTTATGACTCTTTTCCAACAGTCTATCCAAACGTTGAAAACATTTCATTGATTATACGGTTATATTGCAAACAAACACTCATTGAGTGTATTAAAGGAGGAAATGTAGAAAACAGTGAAAACAAACGAATTAAAGGGAATTCAGTCATATTACCAGTGTACAGAATGTACCTGTACCATTTATACCAGTTATACAGAATACAGAATAACACTCTATAATACTACACCAATGAAAACAAGATGTTTTCAAAACAACACTATAATTATAATATTTAAATATTGACACTAAAAATATGACTAAAATATTATATTACAGAGTATTTGTTAACTTATGTCACAATTATCATTGAAATCCTATAAATAAATAGTTGAGTTTGACAAAACGATTGAATTCATAAATAAGAGTAAAGGCATAAAATATGAAAATATGTGATTAGAAGGCTTTCTCTAAGATTTATTCGTGTGGAAAGTCCGTCAAAATATTTTGAAAGCTATTTTACATAAAATAATTGCCTAACTATTAGTATTAGTCTCATGTTTAACCTAAACCTAAATCCCGACTAAATATTCCTAATTTTGTTTGAAAACAGTTTCATATCTTATCCGACGATTGCTATAAACATAACAAAAGAAGAAATTATTGTAAACCTTATCAAATGTCTCAGCAATTTATGGCTCTATTAATGTCATCGAAAATAGTTTAAGTGAAAGCAATCAAATTCATTAATATTTATCACATGAGAGATAATTAATAATTTACGAAAACATAAACAAGTTATTTAATTATTGCTTATTATAGGCTTTTATGTGATGTGTCAGTGAAAACCTTTATTAAACTAATATTATTATCATTCAGGCATAGAATAACAGCCCCCGAGCACAGGGCGATTGCTCCTACAGTTACTATATGTATATAACTATATATATGTAACTGTATATATATGTAACTGTAATAGCATATTGTTTTCATGTGTTCACACAACTACAGTATATTTGTTATAACAATATATTACACATTCTGTATATACAGAAGCACTTCTATACCATACTATAAATGTCGAGATAAGGTTATAGAATAGTGAGATACAGGTGCCATAGTCTAGTGATACTACACTATTTTATATACACATTACATTGAGATATAAGGACATGGAGGCTAACATACTATCATAGATTGGTGTTCACAAAATACAGAATATTTGCCGTCAAATGCATTGAACTCTTCACAGAATATAGTTATGTCTAAATCATAGACCTTTCACCCGATGTTAACTAAACATTATGTTAATCAAACCAATTGCTACTAAACTGATACTGTACTGTATTATCGTATATTACAGTTATTCAATAGAGTAGAGTAGTCAAAAAGTTATGGAAAGTGTACCAGTATATTATAAGTATAACCCTTACACATACAGAATTGTGTAATACTGTAATAGTCTTACTACAGAATTATTAATAGAAATCATACGATTGAATGATATGTGAGACTATAGTATCATTTAGTTGAGTCTATACTACAGGTATTGCACGCCTTTGACAATCTTATGGCAAAAAATTGGAGGCAATGAGACAATCACTAAATAGTTAGTCTGAAGTGAATTACAGAGAAAATATTGATTACAAACAGATATGAGACTAATCTGTAGATAAATAGCGAGACTCTGTTTGAAGGACAACCCATTCACTGATACAGTCGTCTATAATGAATGCAAATGCAGTCATATATGCCATAAACACATATCAATGAATGCATTGTGTATTAAATGTGTTAATTGTGTGCAAACTGTCGATCAAAGCAATGCATGTCTCGTAACTGTACCTCACAGTCAACACCTAACCCCTGGTCACCCCCTTTCATGTGTCGTCATACCATTGATTGCAGTCTGGAGTAGAAACCACTGAAAGCTCGAGCCTGAACATCAGCCGCACATTTGCACCAAATCTTACCAATCCGCACATTTGAGTCCATTTCACACACTTTCACGAGTGAAGGCATCAAATGGGTGTCCATTCAGTCATACATATCACCCAAATGTGAACCCATGTCCCGATGGGAGGCATATGTCTTGAATGAGGTCTCGGGACTAATGCTAAGCATTAGTGGGCTCTTCCATTAGAGGGATGTTATGTCTGACAAGTTGTGTAATAGTATGTAAAGTATGAATAATGCGCTCAACAGTGCACTCACTCGTGGTGGACAGTGGTGTGCAGTGGGGGTGCAGGTGGACAGTGGGCTTCGGTGTGTGTGGGTCGTGTGGGTGGTGTGTGGGGTGTTGGAGGTGGTGGTGGCGGCGGTGTTGTGGAGGTATGCGGAGGGCGTGCAGTGGTGTCTGGAAGGGCAGTGCACTGACTGTAGTGTTGTGTGACTTTGGGTGACGTATCGTGACGTGAGTCTGGAAACGACCTCTCATTCCCTCAATACGTCTCAATACAAGTGAACACAAGACAAACAATTGAAGACAAGAGTCAGACATCGACTGAACGCATGTATAGACCGTCGCATAGACTATAAGCACAGCGTCTATAGTATAGTGCAGTGAATGATATGTTTGACTGATATGAGTGCAGACACTCTTTCCCTTCACCAAACACTTCCAACACATCCAACACGAGAGTCCATTGCACACCTATTGTGCACATAGTGGTCATCATCACGACTACCACCGCAACACCACCACAAACATCACCACAAGAGTGATCTCAATCGCCACCAATGAAAGACTCAGTGATTTAGTAAACATGAAAATGGCTTCAATAGAGGCCTTCATCTGTTCATGTCTTGTATTATCACCGAAAATGGGTTGAATTGGATCCATGAGAGTGTCTTAAGTGATGAGAGTTTGAATTGACTAAACAATGAGCCATAAAAGTGCTGAAGTCTTGAACAGTTTGTCTCCAATCAGTTCCCATTCAATGACTCAAACGGTTATCAATGAAAACACATCCGTAATGAAAGGCCAGACATCACATCCATCACAGCCAACACATCCATCACATCCACCGCTGACATCGCAATCGTCGCACACCAGACACTCGTCACCACAGTCTTCGACGCAGTCTTCAAGTCATTCTTCAGCTCAATCTTCATCTCATGGATCATCACATTTGTCTCATTCCTCGCCAGTGGTATACACACCACGACTCAAGAAAGTGCTGAAGAGTTATCAGGCGAGCGCTACGACGAGTCTGAATGGCCCGGATTGGCCGCATCCACAGCCGCGCCCACATCGGACGCCTTCAGTGTCTTCGCCGTCGTCCTCGTCGTCTTCGGCCTCATCGCTGACAACCCCTCCGATGACTGGTATCTCATTATCAGGTAATGAACCAAAAGGAAAGGCAATCGAAATGCTGTCCAATCGATTGATGTCTAAATCGGTAGAAGAGTCCAATCGGTCGACAGTAGACTCAAAACGCTTTGTCGACACGTCTTCGCAGTCATCGAAAAGTGGGAACCGAAGCAAAAACGGCACAAAAGGCAGTCATGACCTCAAAGGCCACTCTTTTGACCCATTCTTAGTTCCGCCGCCTTTTCCTATACAACAGCCGCCACTCTTCACACCTCCCGATCAGAACCGGTGCGAGAGATCAGAGACTGTCTTAGAAAACGAAACCATTTCTTGTTTTACTGTCGGCGGAGAGAAAAGGCTTTGTTTGCCGCAAATCCTGACCACAGTTTTGCGTGAATTTAGTCTTCAGCAGATCAACAGCGTGTGCGATGAGCTGCAGATCTTCTGTTCGCGATGTACTAACGATCAGCTGGAAGTACTCAAAGCCACGGCTGTCATCCCTGCGTCGGCGCCCAGTTGTGGTCTCATCACCAAAACGGATGCCGAGAGACTGTGTGCGGCCCTCCTGTACAGCAACCCTCCCAAGGCCTTCATCAGTGCCAACGCTCTGATGAAACAGTTGTTTACATTCAAAGTATATCACGAATGCTTTGGCAAATGCATCGGACTCTATGTGCCGACCCTCTACTCCAACCCATTCGCCACTTGCATTGAATGCCTTGAATGTCACGGTCTGTTCGCGCCGCAGAAGTTTGTGTGCCATTCACACCACTCCCGAGAGAACAGGACCTGTCACTGGGGCTTCGACTCCAGCAATTGGAGGGCTTATCTACTGCTCGCTAAAGACAAGCAACTGAAGAGTGCCACTCATGACGGCGACGACCACGAGATCGAAGGACATCTCAACGAAATGAAAGCGCGATTTGATTTCAAGAGAAAAAATTCGGTCAGTTTTTGTGTTATTCAATGATTGCCTGCTTTTTGCTGTTTTCATAAGTTTTATGTATTTTTATGCAACTCTTATGCGTGAACTCAATGCAAGCGATTCCATGCGTTCATAAATCTTATGCTAAGTCTTGGGCTGTGAGAGGCTCTTGTGTTGAACTACTCTTTCAAATGGTTTAAATGGTTTCCTTTGAACCGTCGTTGCAATGCATTGGGAGTGCAATCCGAGCCCATCTGGCAATGAAAGCACTGGCAGTGCAGTGCCAGTGCCGGTGATGGGGTGCAGCACTTGAGTACAACTTTAATGTCTTTTGCATATATTGTTGGATCGCTCGGAGGAAAAGACAACCGAATAAAGTCTGTAGTCGTGAGGCATAGGATAGCATAGCATAGGATGCGTACTGTAATTATCATAAGAATGCCTGAGCTCTGAATCCCTGAGCTCTGAATCCAACATTTCTATCCCTATCCCTAAATAACCAGTTTTTGTTGAATGCAGTTTCAAACGAAATGCAATGATTATTATGTAATTAAGTCAAGACTTTTTCGTCGCGCAAATAATTAATTTTATTTAAAATATTTTTATTTCCAAATTTCCAAAACAAATGCATCTCATATTCAATGCAACTCTTATTTCACTCATTTTGTGCACTATTTTCTCAGTTCAACACAAGAAAAACGGGATTTTCTCGATAAATGAGTTCAGCACTTAGTCTCTGGTTTTCCTCTTAAATATTATACAGTATTATAAGTATTATACGAATTCTCAACATTGAAAACATTCAAACCATTGAACATTTTTTAGTCATATAATAAATTGCCAAAATCAGAGAGAGAGAGAGAGAGAGAGACTTTAATATGGAAATATTATAATGTTGGTGATTGAGTTCACATTGAATGTGAGGCACAGGCAGTAGAGTTGGTGGTGAATGGTTTGCCAACTGTTCCATAGCTTGCATTTGTGAACCCCTTATGTGATAGACGGACACAAGACATAAGATATGGGTTTCCTTAATGTAAACCATTTGAAGTGCTGTTTATAGCAAACCAGTAGTTGTGCACAGTTTTCGTAGTATTGGTCAGTAATAGGCCTCATAGGCTTCACTCTCACTCAAAGCAATGCCCGCAAACCATATCCCCCTCCCCTCCCGCCGCGCCCGTCTCCCCTGCCTTTTATGTCTTGTATGGCTTTCTAAAGAGCGCATTATTCATACTTTACATACTATTACACAACTTGTCAGACATAACATCCCTCTAATGGAAGAGCCCACTAATGCTTAGCATTAGTCCCGAGACCTCATTCAAGACATATGCCTCCCATCGGAACATGGGTTCACATTTGGGTGATATGTATGACTGAATGGACACCCATTTGATGCCTTCACTCACTTGAGTGCGTGAAATGGACTCAAATGTAAGGATTGGTAAGATTTGGCGCAAATGAAGGGCTGATGTTGAGGCTCGAGCTTTGAGTGGTTTCTACTCCAGACTGCAATCAATGGTATGACGACACATGAAAGGGGGTGACCAGGGGTTAGGTGTTGACTGTGAGGTACAGTTACTCGACATGCATTGCTTTGATCGACAGTTTGCACACAATTAACACATTTAATACACAATGCATTCATTGATATGTGTTTATGGCATATATGACTGGATTTGCATTGATTATACACTCGTGTATCAGTGAATGGGTTGTCCTTCAAACAGAGTCTCGCTATTTATCTACAGATTAGTCTCATATCTGTTTGTAATCAACATTTTCTCTATAATTCACTTCAGACTAACTATTTAGTGATTGTCTCATTGCCTCCAATTTTTTGCCATAAGATTGTCAAAGGCGTGCAATACCTGTAGTATAGACTCAACTAAATGATACTATAGTCTCATATATCGTATGATTTCTATTAATAATTCTGTAGTAATAAGACTATTACAGTATTACACAATTCTGTATGTGTAAGGGTTATACTTATACTTATACTGGTACACTTTCCATAACTTTTTGACTACTCTACTCTATTGAATAACTGTAATATACGATAATACAGTATAGTATCAGTTTAGTAGCAATTGGTTTGATTAACATAATGTTTAGTTAACATTGGGTGAAAGGTCTATGATTTAGACATAACTATATTTTGTGAAGAGTTCAATGCATTTGACGGCAAATATTCTGTATTTTGTGAACACCAATCTATGATAGTATGTTAGCCTCCATGTCCTTATATCTCAATGTAATGTGTATATCAAATAGTGTAGTATCACTAGACTATGGCACCTGTATCTCACTATTCTATAACCTTATCTCGACATTTATAGTATGGTATAGAAGTGCTTCTGTATATACAGAATGTGTAATATATTGTTATAACAAA